GATCTCGTGACTAAGCTCCAGGGAGCCGGGGCGGGCGGGAGTGCTCTCCATCTGGCACTCAGAGCAGGCCAGGACGCACTCGCGCAAGAGCTCCTAAGGCTGGGAGCTCCCACGAAGGCGAAAGACAACAACGGCGACACACCTCTCCACCTTGCTGCCGCCAGTGGCCTCGGCGATGTCGTGTCCTTGCTTCTTCGTGACGGGGCTGAGGTGGATGTGCTAGACAACAAGGGTCGGACGTCAATTCATCTCTCGGCGGAGCGTGGGTCTCCATCCACCGTTCAAGCTCTGTTGGCGGCCGGTGGAGACCCGAGCTTGCGGTACGGGAAGGGCAAGGCATTTTCGGCGTTGGGTCTGGCTGCTAGAGGTGGACATGTTGAGGTCATGCAAGCGTTGATTCGGCACGGAGTGGACGTTAATGCCCCCGACTCGAACGGCTGCACGGCCTTGCACTCGGCTGCGATCGGGGATGCGGTGGGTGCGATCGACGTGCTCATCGAGGCTGGGGCGAGTATCGACGCTCAGGGTGGCGAGGATGGAGAAATGTACACACCTCTGCACGTGGCGAGCGAGAAGGGTTCGTCCGAAGCCGCACTATCGCTGGTCAAGCACGGAGCGGACGTGCACAGGTCGGGGAGGATGTCCAGGTGGGGGCGGAGTTGCGGCAATGCTCTCATCCTAGCTGCCGGCCGTGGCCACACCATGATCGTGACATCGCTTCTGGCTGCCGGCGTGAATGTCAACCTTCGCCCAGCATACTCAGACAAGTCAGCGTTGGACGCGGCTTTTCAGGGAGGCCACGCCGACATTGTGACAACCTTGATCCAGCACGGAGCGTTTGTCGACGCCACAGACTCACGTGGGTGTACGGCGCTGTTCAAGGTCAGCCATGACACTAACGCAGCTTTGATCGATAAGCTTGTGGCAGCCGGGGCTTCTGTGAACGGGATGGCAGACCACCACGGCAAAACACCCCTCCATCACGCGTGTATGAATGACTGCCCAGGAGCTGTCGTCTCGATGTTACGGTATGGGGCTCTTATCGACGTGAAGGACAATTGTGGTGACACGCCTCTTCACGCGGCATCCAGTGCTGGGTGCTCCGAAGGGATTCGCGCACTTGTAGAATACGGGGCTGACATCAAAGCGCTCAACGCCAAAGGCCGCACGCCGCTCGCCTTGACCGCCGAGTTCGGCTGTGAAGATGCTACGGTAGTCTTGTTGGACGCTGGGGCAGACGTCAACGCTCCCGCTGACCACACCGATGGATCAGCTGCTCTGTCTTTGGCCACCTTGAGCGAGTACGTGGACGACACTATGAAAATCTTGATTCAGCACGGAGCCGACGTAAACGCAAGGAACACAGATGGGTTCACCGCTCTGCACCGTGCCGCTATGTACAACGAGGTTGACGGCGTCGATCTTCTGATCTCGGCCGGGGCTATCATCGAGGCACTGGATAATCACAAGAGCACGCCTCTCGCCGTCGCGTTTCGGGAGGCCGTTTATCGTTGGAAGAAGTACAACGGTGGTGCTGGGGACTTCGCGGCCATGGTCTCCTTG